CTGCTGACTTTTCTATGGAAGTCCTTTTCTGAAAAATGGAGATGAAATTCACATAACAATATAAATCATTTTATTTTGTGACAGTGAATGATTCAGTGGTACTTCATACCTTCCCAAGGTTGTGCAACCACCGCCTCTATCTAGTTTCACAAACTTTTTATTCCTCAAAAGAAAACTCCATGCCCAAAAGAAAAAAAGAAAGAAAATTTAAAAATTAAACAAAACAAAACAAAACAAAACAAAAACCAAACAAACAATAAATACATTTTTAAAAAGAATTTTTACAAAAAGAAGGAAAACCGCATGCCCATGAAGCACTGACCCCTTTTCCCCCTCCCTGAGCCCCTGGAAACAATTGATCTGTTTTCTGTTTTTAAGGATCTGCTAGTCTAGAAAATTCACGTTCATGGAATCATATAATATGTGTCCTTTTGTACCTGTCCCCTTTCACTCAGCCTTTTTTCCAGCATGCTAATGTTGTCACATGTATCACTGCCTCATTTCTTTTTATGGCTGAATAGTATTCCATTGTATGGATGCACCACATTGTGTTTATTCCTTCACCAGCTGATTGACACTTGAGATGATTCCACTCTTTGGCTTTTAGGAATAATGCTGCCACAAACAGTGGTATACAAGTTTTTATTTGCACACCATGTTTAATTCTTGTAAGTATATACATGGAGGGCTTATGTTATAGTCACAGTTTCTCTTAACCAGCCCTCCATCACCTGAGCACCGCCTATATGACCTCGAGGCACCTGCTGCCTGCTCCGCCCCCTGTGCTTTTTCCGTTGCTCTGGAGAGTGGTCCTCCTCCTCAGGGAACATAAGGCAGATTCGGAGGAAAGAGAAAAATCAAGTTCAGAACCTTGAGAGAGAGAGCCTGAGAGAGGAGCACAAAGGGCCACAGGAGAGGGGCGCTTCCTGCAGGGGAGAGAGGCCCTGGCTATGGTTGTGCCCAGGACTGATGGGTCCAGTGGCTCAGATGCTGACACCAGGGGAAAAGTGGATGAAATGGATTCGCTGGGTCCAGAGGCCCCTGACTCACTCCCTATCCTCCACCCTCCCCCATTTCCTAAACCTTCCCTATTCCCCTCCCCCTCAACCTGGCCTTTAATTCCAAGGAGGGAGTCCTCAGGAGTCAGCACTTGCCAATTTAAGAGGAAACTTCTAGAAAGGGACAGTCCCATAAAATGAACCCCTGGGCTCAGGTATCAGCAAATCCCCAGCTCCCCACTGCACATCTTCTGGGGCACAGAGGGGGTCCAGAGTCCCAGCAGGCCACTGTGGCCACCCAGAGGGAAGCACTGGGGGTCTGCATGCTGTCCCTGGTCTGTCCCAGCCGTGGCGCAGGGGAACCCTTCTGGTCACTGCAGTCCAGAAGCTCCTTAATGGGAGCCTGGTGGGCTGGTGAGCAGAGGGTGGGTCTCAGGCTTAGGAAGCCAGGAAAGAAGTGGGGAGCTCCCAAGAGATTCCGGTCATTGGAAGGCAAAGCTGTCTCTCCCTCCACGCATCACTCAAGTCTCCCTTGCCCATGGCCTGATCCCCTCCCAGAAACAGGACCGTACAAAGCTTGGGAGGGGCCTCTGGATCTGGCTGGAGAGATAGGTACCAGACATGTCCACCTGGGCAACATGGGGACCAGCCACAGGGACCAGAAGGATGAGGTCTTTCCCCAAAGCACCCCTCATCCTGCGGCAAAGGGAGTCCATGAGTGCTGCCCAGAACAGTCCCCCCGTGATCCAGACTTCACCTCAGAGCCCAGTCTCCCTTCCCACACCTAGCCCAGCTCTGTGGCCACTCTTAGGAGCCTGAGAGAGAAGCAAATAGGGTCATTCCACTGGGCCCCACCTGCTCTGACCACAGAGGGACCACCTCTGAGGACAGGAGTCAGCAGGTAGGTGGCCACAGCTGTGCTCTAAGCGTCCCCAGGCTGGCAGGGCCTCCCTGGGGAAGGGAAGGAATCAGACCTCACAGAGGACAGCTGGCAGTGGGCTTATAAGTGATGCATGTGCAAACAATGATAAGGAGGAGGATGGGGAAGTTGCTGGCACTTTCTGGAGCTCCTCCCCTCAACTAGAATGAAGATACGCGTAGAAAAGTATTTGGGGGCAAATAGGAAGGTTGGATCCAGGTCTGATGCCTGCCCTGTCTCCAGCCTGATGGAGGGGCCTATCAGGCCACTCAGGCCAGGGTCTGCTCAGGGTCTTCAGCTCAGTGTGGAGAACACTGTCCTCACCCCACTGGGCAGGGATGAAGGGCCCCACAGGCCCCCAAACCCTACCAATCATGACTAGGAGGTCTGGGGCAAGGAAAGGACACCCAAGGTAGAAGCAGCCACCCACCCCTAAATGTCTCCAAGCCCCTTCCAGGACACCAGGGCTGTGAAGACCCCCACCCCCCGCCACCCCATCCTAGTCTGGCTGCCCCTTCTCCACTGGGGGGAACAGGAAGAGGGTAATTGAATCAGCGTTGCTCATTCCATCTGGAAACTTCCAACATGGAAAACCCACTGAACAACTGGGGAAGCAGTTTGGGACTCTAATTAAAGGCCGGTGACTCTCCCCCGGAGCCCCACCCCACGCACAGCCAGAAGGACCCCCACATCCGTCCTCAGTGTGTTCTGAGGCCCAGCTGGGCCCCTGGTGCTGGGCGTTGGCTCTTGGGCCTGGTTGCCACTGGGAGGAGGGTGAGCAGAATGAGCCAGTTCACCCTTCCTCCTGGCTGCTTCCAGAGTCTGCATTCTGAGCTGGCCCTGGGCCCCAAAACCAGACAAACTAGTGGCTCCCACAGCTCTGCTTCCAAGAAGCTTCAGGAATGGATTAGTGGGTCATGTTGGCAGGCTCGGGAAAGGGATTCTAAGCCCCTCTAGGGAGAAAATGAGCTTGGAGTGAAAGTACAGCTACCCTATTCTAAGTCTGCCTCCCTCTCCGTCTGCTCCTTCTGCAAGGAATGGCATTCCAGGCAGAGGGAACAGCATATGCAAAGACTATGAGGTTGGAAAGATCACAGCAGGTGGGAGGGGCTAAGGGGGCAGAAGCTGAGGGGCGAGAGGAGCACACAGGCTTGGGGGTGGGGCTCACCTCTGAGGGCCTCAACAGCTGCAGTCAGGCATCTGGTCTTCATTCTAGAAGCAATGGGAATGGGGGCAAAGATGGGGGTGTTTTACAATAATGGGATCTGGTTTACTCTGAAGACACCCCTCTGGCTGCTGTGCGTGCAGAGAGCTCATTGCAGGAGAACATCCAGTCATGAGATGGCGAAAGTTTGGACAGGGTATGTCCAGGGAGAAGAAGAAACATACATGGACCAGGCTGGGAACTACGCCAGGGGTCAGGGGCTGTCCTGCCTTCCCTGCTGCCCCTGCCACCCAGGGCAGGCTGCCATGCCATCCCTAAGTGAGTACCCCTTGCAGGGAATGGGGACACAGCTGTCAAGCCCAAGGCTTGTCACTCAGCAGGATCCCAAGGTGCAGTGTGACCTGTCCTCAACATCATTATTGCAAATTGGACCAGCCCTGCCTCCACCCACATCAGAGGTCCGAGCTGGGGAGGAGGCTGTGGCTACCTCTTACCCACATCTGCCCACATTTGCCATCACATTTCCGCCAAGGTCGCTTAGAACTAGTCCCCAGCCCTGCCTGTGGCCTTGCCCTGATGGCAGGGTCTGGAGGCAGTTGCTGGCCCCCTTAGGGCAGCTCCACACTGGCATGTCCTGTGAGGCCAGAACCAGCAAGGGGTGGGCTACTAGAGACAGATGCCCCCGTCTCCCTCCCCATCTTCTGTTGAGCCTCTTCTCACACCAATACCAGCTGACCCAAAATACACACCACCCGTGGGGTCATGTGAAAACAGTCACCATGGTGACTGGTGGGGTGTCTGGCTCAGTCAGCCAGAGCGGGTGCTAGTAACCGACAAGCAGCCACTGCTCTGAAATCCTTCCTCACTGCCACCCTGGAGCTTAGGACAGGGAGAAGCTCCAAGTACTCCAGGGGTGGAAAGGCCACATCAGGGCCAAGCATCTGATATAGATCCAAGGGCTGGGGTGCAGGGGCCACAGCCAGGTCCCATAAGGGCCCAGGGCATACCAGACCTGAGCCTAAGGACCCCTGGGGGTCACTGTCAGGGCAGTTGGTGGGCACCTGGCAGACAGCACTGTAGCCAGGAGCAGGTGACAGTCATTACTGAGGGGGCCCTGCATTTCTGGGAGAGACAGGTGAACAGGGCACCCCAGCCTGCCCAAATCTGGCCTAACTTGGTTGGGGGTTAACAGGCAGCTGGGTTGCCACTGGGTGTTTATTCCTGCCCATCCCAGAGGAGGGAGCACCACGTGGATAAACACCAGGGAACTAGGGCACAGAGGGCCTGGGGGACTGGGCATGGCCCAAGGAGTGCGCAGGATCTGGTGGGTGGGGCCTGTGGTGTGGGCTTTGCTTGGTGGGCGTGGCCTGGGTGGGTCATGCGGGGGTTTTGCTGTGAGCTGCTTAGAGGCTGTTAGAACCACCCCTGCACACAGGAGTCACCTCATACTCGCTACTGGCAATTTCACCAGGTTTCCAGGAGGGAGAGTCCAAGGGGCACTAGGACGCAGAATTAGCTGGGGTCATGGGTGCAGCCTGGAAAGCTGGACAGATCCATCTTTAATCCTGCCCCACCGCTCAAGTGGGCCACGTGAGGCCTCAATTTTCCTGTCCGGAACACAGGGACAGTCCTCCTTGGCATCCCAGGTCTGAGAAGAGAGCCCGAGGATGACCTCCTGAGTCACCAGGGCTATGCTGTGTGTCACTGAGCAGGCCCCGAATGCCTCTGAGCCTCAGTTGCTCATTTGTGACAGGCGGCCAAGCTCCCTGCACACCTCGAGGGATGTATAACCACCATCAGGTTTTTAAACACTCGTGGCATGAACAGTGCCCGGTTGAGTTAGCTGGTATGAGTATCATTTCCCCAGAAGATGGCACCTCCTAACCTGAACCCTCCAACCCCCAAGGGCATGTACAAGAACAGAGATCCAAACTTTATTTTGTAAATACTCCTCTCTACCCAGTATATGTATACGGCCCACCCTGGCCAGGTGACAGGCATAAATTAAGGTTTCACCCGAGTCCCCAGGCAGGGCATGGGCGGGCCAGGCCTTGTCAGTCCCAGCCAAAGTCCTGGCCTGTCATCTGGTAGAACTTGCGGTTGAAAGGCCGGTAGAAGTCCCGCAGGCGCTGGACCACGGCCTCGGGCACTCGTGGGTGGGGCCGGCCCTTGGATTTGCCCAGGCAGCGGGGGCGGCTGCTCCCCTGGGCTTTCTTGAGGCAGGGGAAGCCCTTGGTGGCATTGAAGTAGAAGTGCTTGTCCGTGACGACCCGTTTGAGGCCCAGGAAGTCCTGCACGCGGCCCACCTCTCCGGCAGGGTCGCTGACCAGGCGCTCGCCGCTGACAAACAGGAAGTGCGACAGGGGGAAGTAGCGCAGCCAGTTGTCCAGATGCTGGGCGTAGAGGCCAATGCGCACGGCGCTCCAGGCCGTGTCCACGGGGCCCAGGCCGCGGCGGAAGGCCAGGGCGCGAAAGCTGGGCAGGCCCGGCGTCTTGGAGAGCGTCTGGGCATAGTCAGAGATGGCCCGAGTCACGGGGTTCCGCACCACCACGATCAGCTTCGTGTCCGGGGACATGCCACGGATACGGCGGGGGGCCTCCCGAGTCACGAAGTAGCTAGGGGTCTTCTCCATGGTGATCTGCCCGTCCAGGGTGCGTGGCATCAGGCTCCTGCGGGACAAGTGGGAGGAGAGGTGGGCATGAGCGGGTGCCGGCCCTCTGAGAGCCCTCCCACCCTAGACCAGCCCCCAGGGCCCTGGGACTAACCTCCCCTTCCTCCAGGGAAGCCCTAACTACAAGGTAGGTATGCCTTCCTACCCCCCACTCCTAGCCAGATCCACCCATCCTAAGCACTTGGGTGGGCAGCCTGGGATGTGGGCTGTGAGGGTGCCCAGATCCAGCACGGCCCACAGTGGGGGCCCACACTGCAAGGCTGCCCGCACCCCTCCCAGAGCTAGACTGCATCTCAACCGTGACACAGCTGGGCCTCTCACCCCAAACCAACCTCTCAGGCCTGAGACCTGGACTTGGTACCCACAGGGCTCCAATGACCTTCCCCATCCCGCGGGCTCCTGCTCTGTAATTACCCCAGTCTCACTTTCATTAAGTGGCTCATGGCATCCCCTGAATTAGGCCATTAGTTATTGACAAGTGTCACCAACAAATGGCAGCTGCCCTTCCTCTCTCTCCCCACTCCCCATCCCCCTACATAGCCTCTCCCCACCTTTTTAGCCCTGCTAATTCTCCCTGACCTGGGCCCCACCAGAATGCTGAAAGCCTCAGCACAGCCCAGTGCACTGGAGACGTCAGTGAGGTGGCCTAAGGGTCCGTCTCAAGACCCCAGCTGCCTGGGCCTCCCAGACCTGCCTTGGTCCCCAGGGTACAAGGCTGCAGCTGCAGCATTTCTGACAAGTCCTCTCATTCTGACCAGAGGTGGGGGTGACTGACCTCATCCCAAGGTTCTCGGGGAGTCGGCTGCTAGCAGAGCCCCACCACCCAAAACCTGGGGAACCTATCCTGAGCACCCCGCCCAGGCAGGCCAGGTACCCTGAGCAGCGTCCCAAGGCCGCCCCTGCCTGCCAGGTAGTGCAGGGTGGGGCGGGGCAGGATACTGCCAGCAGGGCCAGCTGAGCAAACAGCTCAGAGGGAGGGCCAAGAACTAGGTCAACAGAGGCAGAGGCTGTCAGGACCTGCACTAGGGAGGGGAGGTCTCTGTCCCCTGCTCTGGCTAACAGCTCCCAGAATTGGTCCCAGACAGAAGGGTGACACACCGGGCAGAATTCAAGGTTTATCCAGAGTAGTGACCCCATACTCAAGCCCCTGGGAGGCAGGGCCTGAGTCTCCTCTTCCTGCTCAGACCCCCAACAAAACTCAGGCCGGGGGATACATAGGTGTACAGATACACAAGTTGGGGTGTTTGGCTTGGTGTGTTTGGATGTTGGGACAGGAGGAGGTACACATGTGATCCTGGGCACCCCACCGGGCTCCCCTGACACCTCCCATTTGGCTCAAGGGAGTGGGGTGGACTGCATGATCTACTGGCTACGGGAGCTTCCTCCACCCCTCAAAATAAGGTCCTGGGCAGAGCTGGTCTACAGAAGTCACAGGGGACAATTCTGCTCCCCCATGGCAATGACAGAGCGATCTGGGACCCTTTCTACCACACTCACTACCCTATTTGATAGACAGGTAGACTGAGGCTCAGAGAAGGAGCAGGAAGCGCTGGGTGAATGAGGGCCCACAGCCTCCTACCCCTGGGCTGCAGCTGCTGGGAGGGGCATGTCAGCTTGGATTCTGCTCTAAGCCTCATGCAGCTGGGAATCCAGGTGGGAACAGCACCCAGCCCTCCTGGGGGATAAGTTCAAACAGACCTTGGGTGGGGACAATGCCAAGAGCTGAGGCCGAGGGCTGCAGCCTAGGCTGGCCAGCTCAGGAAATCCCCTTTCCACAAGAGGGAAGACGGAAGAAGGGGGCATCGCCCCACACTGGACCTCAATGCTAAGACCACAGAGAGAAGCCAGTGCCTCATCAGAAGTCACTACCCTCCCTTTACTCTTAGGGAGCGAACCAGCCCTGTTTACTCCAGGACCCTCCTTGCCAATCTTTGACACCCCCTTTCCATCCCTTCCCTCCCCCAGGTGCCCAGTGACCCCAGGAGCACCCTCTTTCCTGCCCCAGACTGGGCCCTTCTGGTCCTGAGTATCCCCACCCCTTCTCACCCACCTTTGGAGAGGGGCTGCAAGGAAGCCAACAAGAGTTAAAGGGACCTTAGCACCCACTGTTGCTTTCCCTCCAAGGAAGTCAGAGGAGCAGAAGCAGGGGAGGTGCCCCCAGCCTCACCGTGGAGGGGAGAAGGCGATGGGAAGGGGGGATGCCGACTTTCCAGGCCCGCTCTTGCCACAAACCAGCTTTGAGATCTGAGATCTTTGGGATCAATTACTCACCCTCCCCAGGCCGCAGAAAGCCTGTCCTCAGCCGGGAATGGAGGAGGGTGGGGATGGGGGCTTCTGGGGAGGTGGGAGAGGATGAGAGGAACAGGACTCTGACCCCCACTTGGCAGACATCTGACAAGTTGCTTGGCGGACACTCCCTCCCTGCTCATCTGGTCTGCATTTCCCTGCGGCTTCCATCCAGCCCCAGGCGACTCTCCCTCCTCCATCTCAGCCTGCTCCTCCCCGACGTCCCACGTCCCACACCTCGCCTGGGCCTCATCCAGCCAGGCCTGGGACCCTGCAGAAACCAGCTATGATTCCTGTGTGGAACTTTACTGTGCTGATGGTGGAGGTGGGGGCATGACAGGGGGGTGAGTCCCACAGAAGCCCGGGTCCCTCCCGCCACATACTCAGACCCCTACTACCCACAGTCACTGCTCCAGCCCCCGGAGCCAAGGGGGTTCCCCTGCTTTCATCCCTCCTGTCTCCTTTTCACTTTTCCAAACTGCTATAGTCAAAGCATAGCCCCCACCTGTCCCCAGACAGGGGACCCCCTCCTGAACTGAGACTTTGGGAAATTTGTTTGTGTGACTCCAGCACCTGCCAAACAGAAGGTGCTCACTGAGTGACTAGATGAACAAATGCTGTGTGAGTTTAGGGGCACTTGGTGGGGGAGTCACAGTCCCCAAGAAGGAGGATCCAAAAGAGCCTAAGGGGTGAGCTGAGGCCTGGGGAGTGGGGCCAATTTGGCCAAGGTCAAATTTGAGCATCCTGGGACCCCCTGCTGAGGCCAAGGGAAGGGCCAGAGTCACTGCCTGGTCACAACCCAGTGGGAACAGGGTGTCCCAGAAATGCAACTGGGGGCACTGACTACCCCTCCTCTACTTACCATCCCAACCCCCCAGCCAGGAACAGGTGCTGAGGACCCTCTTTGCAGCTGGAGAGACCTAGGCAGGGGTGGGCATTTTCAGACTCACTGCACATTCATGGCTGGTTGGAAGGACAGGCAGGTTCAGAGGCACAGGCGCCTGTGAGAGACACCAAGGCCACACGCGCACATGTCAGCACATGGCCATGTCCCTTGGAGGGCCCGTGGACACATGTACTCCAGAAACTCAGCCAGCCCCCTCCTGCTTGCCTTGCACCAGCCAGTGAGGGGTCAGCGCTACCCAGCCCCAGGATGGCTCCAGATTAAAGGGGTGGAAACGACGATGGGGACAGGACCCTTTGTATCCTCCGGGCCCACCCCTCCCCTCGGTGTGGTGACTCTATAAATGAGGAAGGAGAAAGTCTCAGGCTCCTGAATCCTCCCACTCCTATCACAGGCCTCAGGCACACCTGTGTCCCAAGAACCCCTTACCAGGGCTGAGGATCTGACCCCAGGTCTGGGTCCAGCTGGCTCGCTCTGAGGTCCCTTAATCTCCCCAGACCAGTCCCCTAGAGCTAGAGCCTGTGCCCTGGGAGAGCCTGGATGGGACCTCAGGGTCCCCGGTTCTTCGGGAATCTTTTTAGGTCTAAACCCAGTTCTCAACTCCCCTGCAGCCCCGCATTAGCCCAGCTTCTGGGGTCACCAGTGGGCTCTGAAGTTTGTACCATGGTTAACAATGGATCCTCCACCTCCCCCACCCTCTCCCTCCTCTTCCTCCCACTCCCCTTCTTCTCCTCCCCTCCACCCCTTCCTCTTCCTCCCCTCCTTCTCCCTCTCCTCTGCACAGAAGTGAGGAATTCAGGATGCTTTCAGATGCTGCAGTACCACCAGAGTTGGGTAACGGTCTCTCCTTGAGCTCTGAGAAAGCAGGGATTCAGGCCGTGCCTTCCGAGAAACGGCATGGTGGTGCGTCCTAGGGGTCCCACTGGGGACGCAGCGGAGCGAGGTGGTCGAAGAATGGACTCACCTCCCTCATCGCCACACAACTTCCCTAGACGCCCCCTCCCCCGCCCCAGTAGCAGCACCCCTTCAGAGTTCATTGAGCCTGAACCCCCGGTTCTCACTGGGAATCCTTTATACCCTTGAGTGATTTAAATGCAAAAGGCAAAGATAACAAGTAGGGGTGGGGGCAGGGTGGAATCTGGGTACAGAGAAACTGGTAAACTTGGCAGTCAGATCCTGCCACCCCCACTTGCCACTAATTCACCAGGTGACCTTGGGCAGCGTCCTCTCTGCCCTTTAGGGGCCTGGTGCAAGTTGGGGATGAGGCAAGTGCTGTGGGGAGAGGGGTGACTCACCCTCCATCTGTGAGCCCTCGTTTCCCCACAGGAAGGGGCAGGACACCGATGTGGGCTTGTGCACAACTGAGGAAGGCAGTGGGCAGGGCCCTACACTTGGCCTTCAGTGCTACCCTGGGCAGGGAGGGGCTGGTGTTTGACCAGCCCCCAGGACGGGCTACTTCATCTGGGGCTGAGTGTTCCCCCAATTCCACCACATACCCCAAGGACATCCTGAGTGGGAGGCAGGGCAGCTACAGAGTCCCATGATATGAGGCTGGGGTCCCAATTCTCATTCCTGGGCATTGATCAAGGGCACCTTCCTCCTTTCTAAAGACCAAACTTTCTCCAAACCCCCGGGACTATCGAGAAGGACTCCTCTCTCCAGGATCAGGGTTCTTTAGGGTAGGTGACAGACACTTTCTAGGAGGCTGCGGGGGACCCTGGAGGCCCCGTGCTAGGGTAACTGGCCAAAGGTCAGACATGGCCCCTCAGCCTGGAGGGGCGACTGAGCAAGAAGCACTTCTAAAGCTTCTCAAGCCCCACTGGCTTGGAACTACTTCTCAGCTGGAATAGCACTCTAGCCCCGAACCAGAACTTTCCCTGGAGTTTTCAAAGTTTCTGGGAGCCCACGGCCAGTAACCATCCCTTTTTTTCATAAAACCTCCTGCAGGGGGTCCGCGTCCTCCAGGTCAAGCCTTGCCCTCCACATAGGCTCGTCTAAGCCCCAGATGATGCCCGGACACCTCGCCCCGCCGCGTCCCCAGTGGGATCCCCAGGGAGCACCACGCCGCTTCTCGGAAGGCACCGGCCAGGAAGCGGGTAGGGCGTGCGGGCCCGGGCGCTCACCGGTACCAAGCGAGGCCGCGCTCGTAGCACCTGTCGAAGAAGTGGGGCTCCGAGCCGAGCGCGCGGACGTCGGGGTGCAGCCGCAGGAACTCCAGCAGGGCAC